TGGTCTTGGTATGTTGCCCAGGTGGGTTTTGAACTCCTGGGCTCAAACTGTATTTCCACTTTAGCCTCTCAAGTAGCTGGGACTAGAGACATATACAACCATACCAGGTTAAAGGAAATTGTTCATAATTCCTAGTTTGGGCCAAGGGGGAGAGAAGTCACAAACCTGAACACACTATTGGTGAGAATATAAAATTGGTTCAACTTTTCTGGAGAGAAACCTTGCAAATGCATTAAGAGCTTTAGTTTTTATGTATATTTTGATCTGAAAGCTCCATGTTTAGCAATTTTATATAAAGACTTAGTGGGTTAGGATGTTCATCAGAGGGAGGGGTGGCTAGAGTGCCTGCTTTGCAATAATGAAGTCCTGAGTTCAAACACCAGACCCACCAAAAAAAAAAAAATTTTATAAAGTCAGACTCTGAATTCTCTTGTCTTCTTTGCAAATAGGGCCAGTTTCTGAAAAGGAGTAGAAAGTAACCAGAGCACCTTAGAGCACCTTATGAGATCAGAAGACAGCACTGGACGGGGCAGAGGGGAGGTACAGGCCTGTAATCCCTATTCTTGGGAGGTCAAAACAGGAAGATAACAAGTTCAACATCAGCCTGGGCTACATAGTGAGACCCTGTCTCAAAAAAGAAATAAACCTCAAGTTTTCCCCTACCCCCAAAAAAGAAGGCTCACCAGAGTTTTATTTTAATGGCAAAAAAATCTGAATGTCTAATAGTGAGGCTGGGCACTAGTGACTCACACTTGTAATCCTAGCTATTCGAGAGGCAGAGAACAGGAGGATCACGGTTCAAGGCCAGCCTGGGCAAAAAAAAGCAAGACCCTATCTCAAAAATACCCAATGCAAAACAAGGCTGGCAGAGTGGCTTAAGTGGTAGAGTACCTGTCTAGCAAGTGTGAGGCCCTGAGTTCAAACTTCACTACGGCAAAACAAAAAATAAATAAAATGAACATAAATGTTTAGTAGTGAGTAAACTATCCATGTGGCCACACAAAGAAATGTGTCATCACTATAATAGGTAATGCCGCATATTTAATCATCTGGAAACATAAGTAATGGTATATCTTTTTTATTTTTGTGATACTGGAGCTTGAACTCAGGGCCTTTACCTTGAGCCACTCCACCAGCCTTTTTTGTGATGGGTTTTTTCAAGATAGGGTCTTGTGAACTATTTACCCAGGCTGGCCTCAAATTGCAATCCTCCTGATCTCTGCCTCCTGAGTAGCTACGATTACAGGTGTGAGCCATAGGCGCCCAGCGGTATATGTCTTTTAAAAAGAAATCAAAGAGCATATACTATATGGTTTCGCTTTATAGACAAACACTAGGGAAATATTAACTGTGGATTACCAGTTGGACTTCTTTTTTTTTTTTGAACTCCAGACCTATACCTTGAGTCACTCTGCCAGCCCTTTTTTTTTATTGGGTTTTCCAGACAGTGTCTCCCAAAATACTTGCCTGGGCTGGCTTCAAACCGAGATCCTCTTGATCTCTGCCTCCTGAGTTGTAGGCACCTGGATTTTTTTCTTTTCTTTTATTTTTTTGTATGTGTTAATGGGGTTTAAATTCAAGGCCTTGTAGTCACTAGGCAGGTGCTCTACCAGTTGAGCAATACTCCAGCCTCCAACAGTTAACTTATGCTAGAAGGATTACATTACTGGTTTTCCTTCTTGCTTATCTTCATTTAGCGCATTTTCTACAATGAACATGCCTTGCTATTATCATTTTAAAACAATAAGTTATTGTTAATACATAAAGTACACAAGGTACATAGTTCTATCAGGGTTCAAGGGACCAGAAACACTGAATATTATGAAATAATAGATTTGTTAATAGGAACAAGATCATAATTGTGGGAAAAGTAAGGAAAGTCATCGCATCTGGTGGTACACCTGGGGTTACAACAGGGCCAGCAGGTGAGAACTAGAGATCCATTTGTGGAAAACAAGAAGTTGGAACTTGCTGTCTCTCACCACTTCTAACCAAGGTTTGCCTTCAGAGAGTAATGGCTGCTGCTTCACTTCTCCCACCCAAATCTCAATTTGATTTTGTGCATTTCCAACCTAGAGCTGAAGCCATCCTCCTGCTTTAGCCTCCCAAGTGCTGGAATTACAAATGTACACCACCACTCCCATTATGTGCTTAATTTTTTTATTTTTATTTTATTTATTCATTGTGGTATGGAGGTTTGAACTCAGGGCCTCATGCTTGCTAGACAGGCACTCTACCACTTGAGCCACTCTACCAGCCCTTTTTTTGTGTAGTGGGTATTTTTAAGATAGGGACTAGACTAGCTCTTTTTTTTTTTTTTTAACTCCAGCTGGCCTCAAACCACTGTTCTCCTGATCTCCTCCAGAGTACAAAAGTGAGTCACCAGCACCTGACTCTGCTTTATTATTTATTAGCATACTATAGTTGTACTGGGGATACATCGTGACATTTACAAAAGTAATTACAATACATCTTAGTTAGATTCACCCCTTCCATCTTTCTTTTTATTGCATAGATCACTTCTATATTAGTAATACTCGCCTGTAATTCCAGCATTTGGGAGGCAGAGGAAGGAAATCAAGAGTTCCCGGCTCACCAGGCATCAGTGGCTCACACCCATAATCCTAGCTACAATAGGAGGCTGAGATTGGGAGGATAGTGGTTCCAGTCGAGCCTGGGCTAAAAAAGTTTCCAAGACCCCTATATTAATGGAAAAAAAAACTGGTCATGATGGGACACACAGGCCTCTAATCCCAGTGATGAGTAGCATAAAATAGGAAGACAGCAGGTCATGCCATCCTGGACCCTATTTCTAGATTAACCAGATCGAAAAAACAAGAACTCAAGCTGTAGAGTGCCTTCCTAGCAAATGTGAATCCTGGAGTTCAAACCCCAGTCCCATAATATGAATTGTGGGGTGGGGTGGGACCGGGGTTTGATCTCAGGGCTTCACACTTGCAAAGCAGGTGCTCTACGGCTTGAGCCACACTTCCAATCCATTTTGCTCTTGAACTGTTTACCTGGGCTGGCCTCGAACAGCGATCCTCCCAATCTCAGCCTCTGTAGTAGCTAGGATTACAAGCGTAAATCACTGGCTTCTGGCTCTCTTCTAAATTTTTTATAACTTTTTAAAATTTAGCTCTTTTTTTTTTCCTTTTTGTTGTAGTTGTAGGACTGGTGGAGTGGCTCAAGTGGTAAAGTGCTTGCCTAGCAAGCATGAGGTCCTGAGTTCAAACCCCAGTATGACCAAAAAAAAAGAATCGTTGTAGCAATGAGTATAATTCTAGGGTCCTATCTTCCACTGGAGACAAATAATAAAGCTCCAAGTACTATGGAAGGGGGTGCAGAAGTTGTGATGGCTTGTAAAAGAGCATTTAACCCAAAATTCACAGATTAAGGAACTGGGGAAAGCAGGGTACCCTCTTAGGAACAGACTTATTGAACCAAGGAGTCATTCTCCTGAGGTAGCAAAAAACGGGAAACAAGACAGAGAAAACAGCCAGAGTAAATGCCTGAAGCCTAGAATGGCATAATGTGTCTACAGAGCACAGAAGTGAAGTGATCAGAGCAAGGAGTAACTGATACACCTCATCAGCAACCCTACTGTGTAAATTGGTCATTGTTGGGAACATGAAGATGACTTATAGCCAGTTGTGACATTAATCCTCTAGAAACCTCCATAGATATCATCATCCATGTTTTATAAGTGGATGAATCAGGGCAGATCAGGTTTTTAGTTGCCATGGTCATGGAATTAAGGAATGATAGAGTAATGTAAATCTAGACCTTCTGATCTCTAGTCAATTCCTTTTTTTTTTTTTTTTTTTTTTTGCTGTACTGAGGTTTGAACTTAGGCAGGACCTACACCCTGAGCCATTCTACCAGCCCTTTTTTGTAATGATGGTTTTCAAGATAGGGTCTCACAAACTATTTGCCAGGCTGGCTTTGAACCATGATCATCCTGATCTCTGCCTCCAGAGTAGCTAGGATTACAGCTGTGAGCCACTGGTGCCCAGCTCTGGTCTCTATTCTTTCAACTGTGTTTAGGTGGCCATAATGCAGTCAAATGGAGTATGACAAAGATGTGTAAACTCCTAACAGGAATTAAATAGTTATCTACTTGTGTTTTGATGTCAGAGAAAGAATTGTTTGAAAGTAATGGCATTAGATCTTTTAAGAATGAAGCTGGGCACCAGTGACTCGCGCCTGTAGTCCTAGCTACTCAGGAGGATTGAGGTTTGAAGTCAGCCCAGGCAAATAGTTCCATGAGACCCTATCTCGAAAAGCCCTCCACAAAAATAGGGCTGGCTGAGTTAAAGCCCCAGTACTGCAAAAAAAAAAAAAAAGTTACCAGCCAGGCACCAGTGGCTCACCCCTGTAATCGTAGCTACTTGGGAAGCTGAGATCTGGAGGATCAAGGTGCAAGGCCAGCCCAAGCAAATAGTTCACAATCTGGCTAAATATTTTTGCTGAGTCTTTTCTTTTGAGGTAAGGTCTTGCTATATAACCTAGGCTGACCTCAAACTCACCATACTCCACCTCAGCCTCCCAAGTGGTGGGATTGCAGAGGTGTGCCAAAATAAGGCTCTGAGTCTTTAAAACAAAACACAAGATGTTATCTATAATATTTAAGACAACCTAAAGGACAAGTAGGCAAATTTCAAAGCTCAGAATATTAGTTCTATCTATTACAATGTCCCTGAAGAAGATGAAGACCCAGACTTAAGGTGGACTTAGAACAAAAGGATTTACTATGGACCTAATATATCACACCTATGAACTGGATAAATAATACAATGGGGCAAGGTTTAACAAATTTGCTTTAAAAGTTTGCCCTTAACTGGTTGGACATATGAGTGAGTTGGACCTCATCTCGAGTAAATCTGACCTCATTAATATACCGAGACAAACGTGTAATTTGTAGGAATATATTTTGGGTAGGGGCTGAGAATTAATGTTCAAATGATCTTTTATGTATACCATACTAGAATATAAAAAGTAGTGACCCAGCTTCCATAAAACTGGTTTTGTTCTAATAGGCTAAGAGGAGAGACTTGAGAGGACAAATGAAAGACTGAGAGTGGACTGAATATTCCCATTGGGAGCAGGGTGCAGGAGTGGGTGGGCCTACCTACTTTGGCCAGCAGTTTGGAGAAAAGATGATATGCGCATGTATCCCAACACAGGTGAGAGCAGTTGGATCAGGAAAACAAGTGGAGTTTTAGGTATCTTTCCAGATGACTTTCCTTGTAAGGGAGACAAATCTCTATGTGGACATGCCCAACTCTAAGAGCCTCCCCTTACAGTAACTTCTCCTTTATGATTTCTCCCATTTTAATTTTCAATTGTTAAACTAGAATGTCTCAATAGTTTTTTATTCATCTTGGTAATCTTAGGGAAGACCTATTTTACTCCTTCCCTGGAACCAGCTGCTTTTTTGCCTTTATTTTCACGTGATTGAGACTGCTAGTTCAATTCACTTTCGTCCTCATTAACAGAAGTCCCATTTTACATACAGCACAGTACATCCATCTTCAAGACTATTTCTCAACTTGTTAGGTGGTATTTCAGATTTACTTGGAATTGTCAGTTTCTGCAACTTTAGTCTTAAAATGGGGCTTTCTTCCCATTTGCTCTCCAGAATGCACATATAGTAATCAAAACATGTAGCCAAGCCATATTTGATATTGGGGTGGGTCTCCAGTGATATAAACTCCATTCACAAGTTTTGGACCAAGTATGTACCTCATTAACATAAGCACAAAAAAAGAAAAAAACCTTTATTTTTTTTGTTGGGGGTTGGGGGGGACAAGGTCTCACTATGTAGCCCAGTCTGGCATTGATCTACCAATCCTCCTGCCTCAGCCTCCCAATTGCTGGGATTCCATGTATGTACCATGCCTGATGCTTTTTATATGGGGCTATAAAAACACCTTAAAATGTTCACTTATTTCTGCCTGGGCCTCATAAGCAAAAAGCTCACGAGACCTTATTGAAAATACCCAACACAATTAACTTTGCAAGAACGCATTCCCTAAGGCCTTCAGGATGAACATAATTTTTAGATCAAAATTGGTTAAGTGGCCTCGGAAGTCATGCTTGCCAGTGAGTGGTGGTATGTACTTTTGCCAACTTTAGTAATCTAAGAAGGTAAAAGCTAAAACTAACTAGGTAGTTCCAAAAATGTATCTGTAGCTGGGCACAAGTGGCTCACGCCTATAAGTCCTTGCTACTTGGTGGGGTTGAGGTTCAAGGTCAGCCCAGGCAATAGAGACCCCCAACTCAGAAACAATCTGCAAAGTGGACTGGAGGTATGGTTTCCCTACTTTGCAAGTACAAAGCTGTAAGTCCAAACACTAGTTCCACCAAGAGTGCAGTTCAAGTAACTTGGCATACCTAGACCAAGATTCAGAGCCATTAACTATGAGAATTTAAGAAAGTAATTCGTAAAAAAATTTGCTTGAAAACAGTTGTAAACACATTGCAGTCACATATCTTGAGGATATGTGTCTCAGTGTCAATGTAGTCCAGGTATCCTCAAATTTGCAATTCTCTAGCCTAAATCCTGGTATGCTAAGACTACAGGTGTGCATCCACCATACCTGGCAACCTTGTATAAGGTGTAAACTTGAGGTTAGGGACTATATTTCTGGTAGAATAATTTGCATAATGCATGCAGTTTCCCAGCATTGGGGTGGGGAAGAGTGAGGGCTGAAGGCATGGTTAAAGCAATGGAGCACAAGTGCAAAAAAACAATCAAAACCCCAGTAGCTCCCACCTCCCCAAAAAAGTGCAAATGTCTTTTTTAGCACTGGTTGAGTACCAATACCCCAACTATTTTTAACTCAAAGTAGACTATCCTAATTCTTAAGCCAAGGCTTGTTTTTTTTTTGCAATTGAACTTAGCACAGTTGGTGGAACATTCATTTGCCCTGAATTTGATCTCCAGTTCTAAAAAAAGATTGGGGGGGAGGGGGAACTGCAGACTTGGCTTAAAGGGTAGAGCATCTGCCTAGCAAGTGCGAGGCTCTGAGTTCAAATCCCATTACCCCCCACAAAAGATTGAACCTGAACAAGGCCAGCTCTGAGCCACTGCCTCAAGAAGTTGTCTTTAAGCTGGGTGACAGTGGTTCACACTTATAATCCTTGAGTAGCAAGTGAAGCCCTGAGTTCAAACCTCATTACCACCAAAAAAGTAACATGTTCCCTAAACCTAAATAAAGGCAAAAGTCGAGACTTCACAAGAGGGTTTGATTTCCTTGCAATAAAGGTATCTTTGGAGCACTTCAGTTTATTTTTTACCTCTTAACATTAGCTATCATATAAAGCCAGGGATCAAACATCATTTTAAAGTACTACAAAACAATCTTTCATTCATACAGGAATAACTTTGAGTCAATAAAGGGAAAATAAATGTAAACCAAGTTTATTTTGCTTTTTAAGTAGTGTTCTTAAAGCACTACAGCTTGGTAAACAATGTAAATTAGTATAAGTCATCTCAAAAGCCAGAGTTTTTGTTTTGTTTTTTAATGAGTTGTTAAAAAGATGCAGCCTATTCTAACAGGATAAATATTTTTAACCATTTCACTTTGAGTTAATGAAGGCTCACAAATGAGCAACACTCCTCATTGAGGAAAACAAAAAGCTGTTGTCGACAAGCGACAGCACACACACACAAAAACAAAAAGAACTGTGTAAAAATAACTAACTTGTGTTCCCATATCTTTTGAAGTCGCTTTACAATGGGATGATATGCACATGATCTTGCTGCAAACTTGCCATACAGACTTGAAATACATGTGGTCTAGACAGACGATTCAGTCCAAGATGTGCCAACTTTAGACAATGCAGCACTATAATCCTTTTAACAACGCAATTTGTTTTACTCATTACCTTTTCTTCTAGACTGAAATCCAGGCTAGAAAGAAAATACTCCCTAATTAAAATTGGTATTGTGTACAAGAAAAATTGTATAATTTTGCATTAGAATTTACAAGTATATATGTTCAAATCGAATTTGCCTCTCCCCCCAGCCCTGCCACAAAATGGGCATGAAGTAAAAGTTTTTAAAAAATGCCTTAATTTTCAACTTCATGCAAACTAAATAAGATGACCAAAACAAAAAGCTTAAACAATGGAAGGATATTTCACAGAAAATTTCTTATACAAAAAACACATAAGAAAAAGGGCCACTAGGTGACATTTTAATTTACAAATTGGCATCATTTTGGTCGACAAATATCCAGACGCTGTTTTCTTTTGCAAACTTGGAAATAAGTGTCGCAGAGTAAAATAACCAGCATGACTTCAGATTTTAATCACACATTTCTTCTGGAATTTCATGTGGATTAAGGATGCCAGGAACAGACATTTGAAGTTTATGCTTCTCTTCCTGAGCCTGTCGAAGGGCTGTTTCTCTTTCTTCCAAAAAGAGATCAGAAGTGTCTTCACCTGCAAACTCCTACAAAAACACAGTTGATATTAAAAATTATCCATGGGCTGAGTTTCAAATTACAATATATGTAGCTTAAAAAAACAAAACCCTTATGGTTTTTGTCTTACAAAATAAGGTGTGATGCTACAATATTTTTCATATTAATTAGTATCAAGATAGTTGTGAAATTGTCATTGAATTCAGAGCTGAGTTTCAGGTCATTTTCATTTTCTTTGTAATCTGTACATGAAGATAAGAAGATTTAACTATTTATGGGTTTTATGGTAGTGTTGAGCTCCTTTAAAACTGTATGACAAAATAATGACACAAAGTCATTGGGCTGGGGATGTAGGTCAATGCTAAGTGCTTTCCTAGAATGCACAAGACCATGAATTTGCTCACAAGGAACACAAAAACCAAACAACAACCAAAAAAGTTAAGTGTCACTGGAATTATGTAATAGGATCACTTGAGCCCAGCATGGACAACACAGCAAGATCCTGCCTCAGAAACACCAGTATAATCCTTACTAGAAAAGTCTGAATGGAACATTGTGTAACAGTGCAGGAAATAATGAACTTTTCTACTTCCAAGATTCCCTCATTCACAAAATGATTAAAATCTTTAACAGGGACTATCCATGAATTTTGGGTTTTTTTTTTTTTTTGGTGCTGGGATCAAACTCAGGGCCTCGTGCATGCTAGCCAAGCACTGTGCCACCGAGCTACATCCCAGCCCCTATCAATGAATTTTGTATCCCTAATTCTACACCTTAAAATGTCTCAAAGGAGCTGGCCGCCAGAGGCTCACGCCTGTAGTATTAGCTACTTGGGAGGCAGAGATCAGGAGGATCATAGTTTGAACACAGGGCAAATAGTTTTCAAGAACTCAAATACCCACCACACACAATCACTCAAAAAAATGGGTTGGCAGAGTGACTTAAGTGGTAGAGAGCCTACCCAGCAAGTATGAGGCCCTGAGTTTGAACTCAGCACCTCAAAAAAAAAGAAGGTGGTGTATAAGTGTATTGCCCTTAATCGCAGCATTCAATCTGGGCTATACTAAGATCCAGTCTCAAAACACCAAGGACTGGAGATAACAGCTCTGAGGTAACAAGCTTGCTTACCTTTATTTGTACTAAGAAATCTCGTAGATGTTCCTTGAAAGCAGGAATATCCTGATTCAAGCTAAAGAGCCCTGTCACAAAGAGCTTTACTTGAGCACTGCAAATAAAAATACAAGGATTAAATAATCATTTTTAAAAAACTGAAGTTTATGAAATTATTTTTAAATAACCTTTAAGCCCCAGCACACCCACCAAAATAATTAAGTTTTAAATAATGCATTTTAAAATAATTTACTCTTGTAGATGAGGGAATGCAGACTTAAGGAGATTTGCCACATATTCCTGAATAAACATTTGGTTGTTAACTGGATTTCCAGGATTTAGCGGTGTACTTATTTTTCCTTCTTCAACCAAATTAAACATATATGCAAGAATTGATGCATGCATTGTTAAACCTGTTGATGAGAGGAAAATTATTAACTCTAAGATGTAATTTAAAACCAGAACACTTTAATATTTGAAAAGAATTCTTACCAGCAGTATGAGAGGTGTCCGTCACGACAGAAAAGATATGCTGAAGAATATCACAGAAGTAAGTTTGATAGAAACTCTGAGCTGCAGCTTCTTCTTGTGCAACATTTTGTAAGAGTGTGTAAAGTATCTGTAAGCCTAAGAGGTACAACACAAAACAGACAACTGATCATAACAGTATTTAGCCCTGTTTCTGACTCAAAAACCCATTCATCACCCACTTTTTTGATGATGACCAATTACTTGCCTGAATTAATCTTGAATTAGTAATGGAGTAAAACTATAATCAGTGCCAGCTTACAAATTATGAGCTAAGGAAAAGATGATTAACAACAGTAATAATAAAAGGCGACCCTCTGGAGCCATTAAACTAAGGTTTCTTAACCACTTCAACCTAGTCGATTTGATGAGACAGTTAACTACACTGGACAAAAGGGATGAATTATGCCCCAGACAGGTAGATTTCATCATTCTACATAGAGTGATGTAGATTTTAAAACTAATGAACTATTTACTTCTGGAATGTTTCCAGTAATTTAGAATCCTGGCAGTTCCCAGGTAGTTAAAACCTCAGAAAATAAATTCAAAATAGACCTTGTATAGTTTTGGATAAGCAGACAAATAAACATAAGTACTACTATCTTTTCTATGTATTTACCTGTATCTGCAACATTCCTCATAGTATGTTTGAAGGCCCAAATAATGGAATCCAAAACAAGTTTAAACTGTGCAGGTGGAATAGCTAGGAATGCTGGGAAACAGTGAGAATTGACAGCCTGAAGTAGTAAGAAAAAGTTCGTTCTGTGTTCAGGATATTCTTCAAAATCCTAAAAATAAGTGGTAGAAAGAAAATAACATTTCATGTCATATTTATGCTAAGTGGGAGTGAAAAGTCAAGCCTCAGTTCACCATAAATGTTTTAAATTGTCAATGGATCACACAAGCTATACTGGTGCCAAAAAAATAACTATATTTTAAGACCAAAGAAACTATACTCTATGTTCCAAGGAACATGAAACTCTGAAGGACCACACGAGTTAGCTAACAGAGGGGAAAAAAATGCCGCATCATTAATAAAGAGAGCTCATCAAAAATACCACATGAAGAATAAAACACTTTCACTGTGCACCAATGGCTCCTGCCTGTAAATCCTAGCTACTAGAGAGACAACGATCAGGAGGGATTGAGGTATGAAGCCAGCCCAGGCAAGACCCTATGTTGAAAATGCTCAACACACAGTAAAGGGCTGGTGAAATGGCACAAGTAGTGGAACACCCGCCTAGCAAGCATGAGTCCAAGTTCAAACCCCAGCATTACAAAAATAAACAAATGAATAAATAAAACATTTTCTAGTAGTTTTCATACTAATTTTATTATCACTTTTATTTTGTCTGAGACTGCTGAAACAGAAAAAAAAGTTTCCCAATGAGTAAATTTGTACACTTACACCTTATTTCAAGAACCACTGAGTAATTTTCCTGATCTAGATGTTCAAGCGTTTAACTCCAGAGCCATAAAATTATACTATACTCAGAGGTATCATTTATGCTTTCAAGAGCTAAAGATAAAATTGGGCACTGGTGGCTCATGCCTATAATCCTATCTACTCTGAGGCAGAGATCAGGAGGATTGTACTTCAAAGCCAAACCCTTGCAAATAGTTTGAGAGACCGTATCTCGAAAATAACCAATGTCAAAAAGTGCTGGCAGAGTGGCTCAAGCAGTAAGAATGTCTGCCTAGCAAACAGGCCCCAAGTTCAAACTCCAGTACCACAAAACAAAAAAAGATAGGCCATATGTAATTGAAATACAAATCACATACCTTATTTATCATATTCAATGTGCATTCAAATACAGCATCAAATATTTGAGGTATTTCAGCTGTTATATGTCCCCCTAACTTGTTGACAATAATTGCCATAGTACTAAGCACTTCTGGTTCTCTAGCAGCGGGAACATTTCTCTGATAATCAATGAGAACTGCATCCAAAAGAGGAGGAACAAAATTCTCAGCTACCTGTTGGGAAAAAAGGGAAGTTTTTAAGTTAATCCTAGTATTACTATTACAAACCGCTAGGACCATCTCTGCCTCGAGGATTTAGATTATCTATTATAAATGGGGTAATACGGAGCTTTACTAAGCTTTTCCTATGTTGTAATTTTTGTAGCAAAAAAATCACAGAAAAACCACTATCAAATTTGGGAAAGGTCATAAACACAGTTCAGTTCAAATCTATTCTGACAGTAAGTAAAATGGGAGACTGAAAATTAAAAGACTGGCAAGGAAAAATTCCTTGCCAACGAACAATACGAAACTTCAGGGCTGGAGGAATGTCTCAAGAGTAAGAGTGCCTGCCTAGCAATCACAAGGCTGAATTCAAATACAAGTACCACCAAAAAAGAACAAACATACAAAAAAACCCCCACACTTCAAAATCACGACTAAACCAGAATTCTACAAAGAAACATCTACCTAACCATCACTTTCTTAAATGAGAATGTAGACACATTCTCCACCATTTTAATATCATGAATTTTAATTAATATTTTTAAAAGAGAGAAATTAGCAAGAATTAACTCTCAGAAAAACTATTTGAATTTCCCTGATTGTTTAGATCTTAACATGACTGTTTATTGAGAATCTACCATAAGGCAGAAGTGAGGATTTAGTGATTTGAAGTCACCCTGGGCAAATAGTTCGAGACCCTATCCTGAAGGAAATAAACAAAAAAACCATCACACACACACACAAATGAATGGCAGAGTGGCTCAAAGTGTAGGCCCTCAGTTCGAATCCCACTACTTAAAAAAAAAAAAAAAAAAAACCAAACCCACAAAACTGTGTTGGTGGAATGGCTCAAGAGGTAGCAAGAAGTAGACCACCTGCCTAGCAAGTCTGAGGCTCTGAGTTCAAATCCCAGTCCTGCCACCCTCCCCCACCAAATCAAAACATCTCTTACTTACCATCTGTGGATCATTGGACCGGCTCACCCAACCTGATATTAATTTTAAAGTTTCCCTTTTTACTGTTCGCATACTTCTAATCAATGGTTGCTTTGTAACCATTTCACCTAAAAAGTAAGAATCTGGTTTAACAATGACAGTGGTCCTAAGGTATACTTCAGATGCCGTTAGTTTGCATTTATCATTAAAATGCTAACTACACATAAAATTCATAGGGAAAGTAAGTTTTTAAGACTACTAAGAGTAGAGGGTTGTGATAGATTAAATGCAGGGCCTTCTGACTTCCAAAAAAGCATTCTACCACTGAACTATACCCAATCCCAAGACTAATCTTAAAAGGGACAGCTCAAGGGGTAGAGCATCTGCGTAGCAATCAGGAGTCCCTGAGTTCAAATCCTAGTACTGCCTCCCGGAAAAAAGGAAAAAATGAATACAGTTGTTTAGAAATGCCTTGGGTTGTCTGTCCCTTGGGAATCCCAGACTGTTTTAAACCTGTGAGAAATACTGAAAGTATGACCTTCTCAGTATTGGAAGGAGAGAAATGTTTGCTAAAATGCATAGACACCTACCATTAGCTTGGATAGCTGCAGAAATATTTTCACTGAGGCACTTGTATACATTAAGCATATCTAAATAAATTCTTCCAAGCTGAATTACAAAGGGATGCCCAACAGCTTTGCAGGCTCTCACATTTGTTTTTAATATACTACCAAGCTGCTTGACTGTTTCAGGATCTTTTAGTATATCCACATTCTGGGAAGAAAGAAACAGATTCCATTTATCATGTAATTACTTAGCAAGATTAAAACAACACCTCTCATACCCCAAACCACCATCCTATTTGTAATACTAAATAGTAAAAGCAAACCCACAAGACCAGCTCTGATGGGTATAGCTCAGCAGTAGAGCATGTGCTCAATCACCAGCACCCAAATTAATGTAAAATTTTTTCTACCTATACCTACCTAAAAATGGAATGAATTCTTTTAAGATTAAAAAACCCAAAAAAACTTACTATATAACTTTGCAAAACCATGCATAAAAGCACTTGTGAGGCATGCACATCAAAAATAGATTACTACTATAAATAACAGTCCTGTTCAACCCCACTATAACCTTAAGAAAAAAATTGTAAAACGTACTTTGGTTGCCTGCTGGATTATACTATCCCACACTTGATTAGGGAGTAGCATGTATTTTTCTATCAAATGCTCTTGGACTGTTTGGTCTGTTTGAGCACCAATCATGTATCCAACGGCTTCATAAAATGTATGAACCTATTTTAAAAAGAAGACATTCTAGTAAGGAAAAAAAAGCAATTTACAAACATACTAAAACTGATTCTGTTATCAAGGCCAAAAAGCTAGTAATAATCTTTTGGTTAAGTTGCTGCCTTACTATGTAAATTTTAACCACTTGAATTGAACCCAAAAATGGTACTCTATTGCCATTAGTAAGTTCTGCTTAACGTAGTCTTTACTTTCTAAAAATAGTATGCTCAGTCCTTCACATACCTGCTGTGGCTGAAGATCACAAATAATAGTGTTGATGTTGTTTAAAATTTCATCAATAAAGGGCATTACTTCTCCCACTTGAACCTGAACAAAATGCCTACGACATTTTTGAGCTATTTTAATGAAAGTATCACAAGCCATGTCCTGGACTCCATCATGGGTCTCTAACAAGACAAAAACAGTTACCTATTTTGTTCACAAAAAAAATAAAAAACAAACTAAAATACATTAAAGAAGAATTTACCATGCATGAATTCAAACAGCTTATTAACTACTGTCTTCAGAAATTTCCAGTGAGCTCTCAAAAATCTTGGATATTGACCTACTATGTACATGATATTTGATGCAATAATGGCTTTATTATCTTTTCCTCTTTTCTGTTCACATAATCCTAATAGATCCTGCAAAATGAAACAAATTTTGGTCATTAACCTTAACAAAATATGCTTATCTAATGGTTCTACTTCATACAGATCTAGGACGTACCTTTATAACAGTAACCAGAAATCGTTTTTCATCCTCCTCATGCATTGCTCCACTAATGGAGCCTATTGCCCAACACAATGTATTCAAATTTTTCCATGACCATTCTGTACCATTCACCTGATTGTGAAGTTTCTCAGTCATTATTCTTTCTGTATCTATATAATCCAGATGAGTAAGATAAACTACAAAGAAAAAGATGTTTTAATGCAAACCTTAACAAGCATGAGAATAAGTTTATTAATAAACACAGCTACTTAAAGTTGTCTGCCAAATACAGTGCTTTGCCTAAAAGTTATTCCCAGCCACAAATAAGTTGTTCACAAACGTAAAGACCAAGTTAACTTACCTAATGTTTCTCTCATATTCTTATACAAATTTATGGAATCTGTATCCTTCATGAATTCTCGAACAACTTCTCCCTGATCATTTTCTACAACCAGTACTTCCTCTGGTTTAGCCATTCGACTAACCATCAACAAACGGACCTATTTATCAAGAAAAATCTGTTAAGACATCTGAAACCACCCACACCAAATGTATAATGAGGCAGTATACTTTTTGTGTGTGTATATGGGGGAATATACTTAAGGCATGTATTTACACTTTTACCATACTTTATAAAATTATTCTGACAAAATTTAAATATTTAAAATACAACACTACAACAACCCTGGTTTTCAAAACACTTTAACAACACTGTTATGCAACTAAAGTACAATCAACTTTTGTTTTACAAGTTTCCTGTGTTTCAGCAGACTGTCAGGTAACCAATGAATTTACATTTCCAACTGATCATGATGCTGAGACAAGAACCACACTTTTGACAACTGCTGCTACTAAAATCACTCTTTTCCTAGTCTAGTTTTCAACATTCATTGAGAAGTTGTAGGATTCTTTTGGTAGCTCATTAATTTAAATACATGTGCCAATTCATTTGTAACTACTCCTCAAAATTACAGTAATCAAGAACAGTATTCACTCAACCAGTTTATAGTTGTTACCTTTGATAATACAGGCAAATATAGCTGTCTCCTGGGAGGGACATCAAAATGTTGACTTCCAGATAGCAATGGAGAAGCAGATGTAGAAAATGGGCTCTCTCTGTAGAGTTCAGCTGCCAAATGATTCCAGTACTCAAGACAAATCTTAAAGATTTCAGTTTCTTCCACTTCAGATACCAACAACATATAATGAAGGGCCTACAAGGAACACCAACAACATTAAAATAATAAACTTGCTAACAAAACTCCAAGCTGCCCCTTACTTGCCACTTTATAGTTTTTACTACTACTTTTGTTTTCAGCGAAACAGGGGTTTGAAATCTGGGCCTTGGCCTTGCCAGGCGAGCATTCTACTAGTTGAGCCACACCACTAGCCCCGATTTTTTAATTTCTTTGTCAAACAGCATCTCACTATGCAGCCCAGGGTAACTTTTCCTGCCTCAGTTTCCAAAGTGCTGAGATTACAGTTGTGTAATCTGAGCCATGCCTCCAGTCTTTTTAGCCTTAGTTCTATTTAGGATGGGTTCTTGTGTTTTTTTATAAGGCCAACCTCATATTGTGGTTTCCTACTCACATCTCTTGTATACCTGGTATTAGAGACATGTACTACCACACCTGGCTTGTTATGAGATAAGGTAACTTGTCCTGCCCATACTGGCATTCAACATTAATCCTCCTATCTCTGCATCTGAAGTAATGAGGATTACAGTTGTAAGCCAATAAATACATTATTTAAATCAAATCTATTAGAAAGGCCTTTGGTATTAACCCAAACGTGAAAATAACCACGTTGATCATCAATGAATGGATAAACCAAATGTGCTATACTCACAGCAGAATATTCAATAATAAAAAATGAAGATATAGGGTACAAAAGTATTATACTGAAAACACCATGCTAATGGCAAGACACATATATGTATTATTTCTATGAAATAACTAGACTAGGTAAGCCTATGGACATAGAAAACAGAAGCAGGGTGCCTGTAATTACAAGCTCATGCCTGTAATCCTACATATTCAAGAGACAGAAATCAGGAGGATCGCGGCCGGAAGCCAGCCTGGGTAAACAAACAGGTCATGAGCTCCTATCTTGAAAATAATCCCCCACATCCCCCAAAAAGCAAAATAGTACTCTCTGGGGACTAAGAGGGTGAATGGAATGGACCAAGGACAGCGTCACAGATACAGTTTCTTTAGAGATGAAAATGCTTTGTAAACAGTTTACTGCTCATTTTATAAAATTCTGAACCTACTAAAATACCAGTGAATCAGTTTTTTCTTTTTTGGTGGGACTATGGTTTGAACTCAAGGCTTCAAGCTTGCCAAGCAGCACTTGAGCCACAACTCCAGTCCATTTTGTCCTGGTTATTTTGGACGTGAGATCTCTAGAACTATTTGTCCGGCTGGCCTGGAACAGAAATCTTATTGATCTCAGCCTCCTAAGTAGCTAGGATTACAGGTGTAAGGCACTGATGCCCAGCTTGAATTGTGTACTTTTAAATAGATAAATTTATGTGAATTTCACCTCAATTACTTAAAAAGTTCTGGGACTTCTCATCTTACAAATAAACAGCACATGGAATAGCCTTTATGAATCTAATTTTATTGTGAAACAGGGTGTTGCTATGAGCCCTAGACTGGCCTGGAAGTCATGATCTTCCTGCTTCTTTTTCCTAGCAGCTAGAATCCCAGGTGTGTACTCCCATGCCTGGCAGGAAATCTAATTTTGATTATAAAATTTTAGTCCTAGCTTTATGTAGAACACACCAGATTAAGAGTTTATAACTAACTTAGGATAGATGACCCATAACGCACAGGTAAGAAAGAAATTTCAGAAGATACATACATTTTAGAAGACACATGTTAAAAGAGTCCTTATTATGCAGAACTTCAAGAACCAAGGTTCCACAAAGCCTACCTCCATGAGCGTTTCCCTGAGATTTAGTCTTTTTTCTATAAGTTGACCATGTTCCTTAAGAAAGGTGCAGAGAAATAAACTGAGATTTTGAATAAAGTTCTGTTCATCATCTTTTCCATTTGAGTACGCAAGTCGAATGTTAGTATTTAAAGGAAGCATCTGTAAAATTGAAAAGAGAACTGTAATCTACATTTTATAAGAGCAACAAGATATTATTTTAATCTCTAAGATGCCAACCTCAATTTGACAATATTAACCACATGAAGTACTACTCTTAGGTCTGTTTTACTATTTTTTTTTCTTTCTTTATAACCTAGATTTTGACTTTTCAAAGGAAAGAAGGGAGAGCAAGGAGAGGTCTGGGGGGAGTAACTCAAATGGTAGGTGTCAAATGGGAAGCTAAGCTCATATATTTGTGGGGGGGGGGAGGAGAAAGAAAGAAAGAAAAGGACTTTCCTGTATTACATTCTTTGAATTTTTCCCTGTTATCAGACTTTACCTAAGTCAGCAATATTAAAAATATAAAAATACTCAATTCATTCAGACTACAAACAAACAGTAACATAGCATTATGATTAACTTCCTAGATTACTCCACAGATAATTAAACAAAGTAGGGCTGAAAACAATTAGTTTGCATTATCGAGAGTTCTGAGTTCCCAGGTTTCCAAACCTGTTGCCTAGGATCTTTCTATAGAAAGAGACTATCGTGATACTCCCCAAACCCTGATTTCAAAAAATTTTCAGAGGGTTCATAAAATTTCCAGGCTATTTATTTTATATAGTTTATATTATGGCTTATCTATAATACATTGTGCTAAAATAGTTGAACCCGAACCCACTTTTGCACTTAGGTTCTCACACTTACTAGGCAAGTGCTCTACCACTTTAGTCATTTCACCAGCCATTTTCTGTACTGGGTATTTTCAAGATAGGGTCTTGTGAACTAGTTACCCAGGATGGCTTTGAACCTCCATTCTCCTGATCTCAGACTCCAGAATAGCTAGGATTAAAGGCATGAACCACCAGCACCTGGCTGAACCCATCCTTTTTTAAGGCATTAAATTGTTAAATTTTCAGGATACTTATACATTACCTGTTTTAGCTGCATCATTGTCAGTGTAAATAGTGTTACAAATTGTTCTTCATATTGGCTTACACTCACACCTGCAATCTCAGTGAGGCACTTTAGAGAGACATTTCGAAACATTGGAACATTCAGGAACTATTTTTTTAAAAAAGGGAAAGCATAAAATTAGATGGTATGAAATAACATCAAATTTACAAAGAGTGATAAAGTTAACAATCATGAACACAAGGATACAAGCCAAAAACAGGTTTAGTGGGTGATGTTTTATTCTGCATATGTATGTCAAAGAAAATTCAAAATCTACCAATACACAATAAATGCTTTAGAAACACAATATGCTTTATTTTATAACTGAACCCAGGGATTCACACATGCTAGGGAAGCACTCTACCACTTCTGTTTGTATTTTGTTTCTGAGATAGGGTCTGATGAACTTTGCTCAGGTCTGGGGTGATCCCCTTTCCTCGGCCTCCCAAGAAACTAGAATTACAGACATGGGTCATTATACCCAGCTACATTATACTTTCTTTTTTTTTTTGTTCGTGGGACTGGAGTTTGAATTCAAGATTTTGCACTTGCAAAGCAATGGGCCACACCTCCAGTCCATTTTGCTCTGGTTATATTTGGAGATGGATCCTCATGAACTTTTTGCCCAAACTGGCCTTGAACAGCAATCCTCCCCATCTCAGCCTCCTAAGAAGCAAGGATTACAGGTGGATGTGTTAACAGTAACTTTCACAGGACCTACTAGATGACTTTTAAGGATACCATGTTTTCTGTGTAGTAACATGTTCCAGTGCTTTTGATGTTTAGGATTTGAAGAGATAGTTAACATACTAGGATCAGTAAAAGTATGGGAAAGTTTGCTCTTTTATGTTCTATTACTGCGAGGTTATATAAATAGCGTATCATTCATAGATATAGTGAGTATTAAGTCTTAAAAATGAGAGCCAGGTAAGGCGGTATTTACCTGTTATTTCATTATTTCAAGGTTGAGAGGTGGTTAGGAAGCTCAAGGTCAGTCTGGGCTACACAGTCAACAGTACCCAAACTACCAATACTATCTACTGAGGAGGAATTTTTCACCCTTGCCATATCTGGACAAGTGTTCTAATGCTTAACTAAATTTGCACCCTTGGTTTGGAGACAGGGTTCCAACTATGTAGTTCAGGTTGACCCCAGGATTGTCTCAAACATGATTCTCCTTTGTCTGCTTCCCCAGTGTACCATGCCTACCCAATGCCACCATATCTGGACTAGAATCATAGGATTTTAATATGCATGACAAACAATTACTAGCTCTGAACTATGGAAAAATTCTTCTGTGTAGTTTCCTCATCATCTCAGAAAACTAAGATGATGGCTATGCGTTTTCTATAAGGGAAGCAGTTCAAGACTAAAGATATGACTATCCAGTGGCAAATAATTGTAAAGTATTCACTTTACCTTATAAATTAATGTGCTGATTAACTTTGTCTCAAAAATATATCCCAGGGGAATCCAGTTCAGAAACCTCAGCAGTGTTTCTAAGGTTGCATGTACAAGTGGAGCATTTTGAGAATTTTCCTGGGAACAAAACCATCTATAAGTAATTATTCTCCTCTAATTGTTAATTTTAAAAATTAAATTAAAAGCACTTACCATCACAAACTGACACAGTTGAAATATCTGTGAGAACTCATTGCACATGCTAATGAAAAAAAAAGTTCAGACTTAGAAGACACAGGAATAATTATTTACACACTAAAAGTAACAATTAAAAAGTCAAGCATGGTAGCACATGCACCTGTATTTCCACTACTATAGAGGGTGAGGCAGGAGAATCATGAGTTCGAGTCAGCCAGAGCTAAATAGTAAAATTCTGTCTTGAAAACGACAAAACATTTAAAAACTTTCAACAGATAGACCACCAAAGAGATAACTTCTATTTGAACACATGTAAAATATCAGTTAATTCAGTAACAGCTAGGAAGCCATTAAAACTACATTCAGAATCAAGAGTTGTGGTAGATGCTTGTGATCCCAGCACTTGGGACACTGAAACAGAAGGACCAAGAGTTTGAGGCTAGCCTGGGATAGTTAGTAACTCCCTGCCTCAAAAAGCTACAAACACTTTCTTAAACGTTACTGAGCACAGTTCATTAAATACAGTAAACCTTCCTTATTTGTTAAACATGGTTTTAGTCAAGCATGACAAAAAA